AAATATAACCAATAAAAAATAACCTTTAACCTTTTAACTTAACACATACAGTATAAGTTTTCTCATAGTACTATATACTATATAACCTTTAAATGAGTCGTAGGCTGAATAGTGTCTCTGTATTTTCAGCGCGAAACATCATTTACGCGTCCGACATTGTTTTGGCGCTCATCTCAATTAGCTTATTGTAACCAAATACCCACGTCATTATGTAAACTTCGTTGTCATCGAATAAATCAATTCTCCATTAAGCAATTACCATAAATATGATATTTTAAGTGGGATTATTGAATATCTTTGGTTATCTCGCTACGAGTTTTTGTTTTTCAAGCAGTGAACCTTTCAAACCAAATATTGAAATAGATATTAATAAAGCCTAATGATTTTTAAATGTTAGGTTTGAAATTGCATTATTTTTATACAATGAAGCAAATCATGAACAAGTTTTCCCTGATGCCTTTGCAAGCAGCTGGTCAGATTTTTTTACAATAGAGTTTTATTTTAAAATGATTAATATTCAGTTGGTATGATTGACTTGTTTTCATCGATAGCAAATCATTTCACGCTTGATGTAAATCCATATAATTTGTCTTCATACTTTTGTCTTTTACTGGAGACGTTTGGCTTGCTTGTTTCAAAGAGAACAATAAACGAATTTAAGTGAATAACCATCGTTTAGGAGATAATTTCAGGAAGGTCCATGGAATTTAATATTTCTATAGAAAATTCCACAACACAATCTGTGTATTGTTTTCTGCGCGGGGGTATAAATTTGAGGGATAAGTTTTATGCTGATGTGGAACAATGACGCGGGATCTTCTAGAGCTGCCATTGACGCCAACCTCCACAAAACACCGTCTGCTTTATCAAAAGCGGTGTTCTCTACTGCAATGTTTCAATGTACCACATTGGTTTACAGACTATTGACTGATTTCTGACCTTGACTTTTAGATAAAGCACGAAGTAAATGAGCCTGAACTAATTGCTTTAAATCTGGTAAGACTGTTGAAAATCATTATCGAACAACTCTGAAATTTGTATAGGTATATTATTAGCTGAGTTTGTACTTGGCTGTCAACCACAACTACTTAGAATCACTTCTTTTCTTCGCAGTCCATTTGATCATGACTAAGAGAAAACATTTAAATCGAAACAATTGCTCTATTAATAATACCAGGAACGTATAAAAATAAAACAAGGCATACTTACTGGCGGTACCGTACCTTGCTCTATGCTGCTACTAGTAGTAGCAGCTATCCTGATATTTATATTTTATATGAAGTTAAAGATAATGATCGTGATACTGATTATGATGATGATGATGATGATGATGATGATGATGATGATGATGATTGTGATGGTGTATTAGTAGTGTATCCTGATATTAAATACGGTAGAATAGAGTCTGAGTCTCACAAATGATGATGATTTTTTTTTCAATATTCATAACATTTTAATATTTCTAATAATTTCATCTTTTTTTATTGTAAGGTAATTTTAACCCAGTTGCCTACAATTCAATTTTTATTGCCATAGGCTTCTGTATTTGAATTTGTGTATGTATGTATGCTTATACACATCTAGATGTGTATAAGAGGTAATAATAATTAAATGTTCCTTAATTAAGGGTTATTTAACCTGGCACAGTCAGAAAGTGTCGCCATCCCCGCTTAATAGGGGTTCACGTTTCCCCTTAAGAGGGGTGTCTCCTAAATAGGGGTGTACCAAAGGAGGGGTTCTACTGCATTTACCTTTATTTAAGTGACAAGTGAAAACGTAAAATTGTCATCTTTAGGTATTTTTATGCACGCCAACAACTTGAAAACGATGACGTAGGTTCTCCATTATTTTAGTTAAATTGATCTAAAAGAGTATAATTAAACGAATTTGTAAGAAATTTCCATAAAAATAAAATACATTTATGGTAGGAAATCAACATAAATGTAATTAATTTTTTTTTAACAGAGCTTGTACATTACTTCATAATTCAAGTGCTCAATTAATTATCAAATATTCCTATTTTATTGAAATTTATTTAAATTTCTTGGATGCACAAGATAGCATGTAGGTCTATATGAATTTAGACATAATGACTTACATTAGGGTACATGTTGTGGATTACAACCCAATATAAAACTACTTTCTTACAGGGAAATCAATCCAATGGCTAAGGGCCAAAATAGAAAAAAAATAGGTTTATACTAACAGATGGCCATTGAAGAATCCCATTAAATCCATAAAAAACTGGAAATAATGAAGAGTTGACACCGTAGGCTTATATACCGATCTTATAGATTAAGAAAATAAAATCTAGTTTGATGTCATGTTAGTTTATGGCCTACCTGTATGTTACATTATTCAATTTCAGTTCCTACTTGATCATCGCTGATGACGTAGAGTAGTATAGTGAAATAGGGATTTTTCGGCTGATCGTCGAACAATTAGGCAAAATACAGAAATTACAATGAATGGTACAATTTAAAAAAAATCGTAACAACAATAAAGAATAATAATGGTCGTGAACCATGTGGCACACGGCATGTAAACATCCTCGGCTCTCGTCGCGATGAACGAAAAAAATATGTTCTATTTTACTAAAACCAATAAAGAGGAACAAACAAGTTTAAGAATTTACATATTACCACTGATAACGTTGTCAACAAACAAGCTTAACAGTTTCATTTCATTTTTTTTTATTCTGCTATCTGGCTATTACGAATCATTATAAGATGCATCATGAAGTATTCTAAAGAGGGCGATATACTTGTTTTTTTCAAAACATAAAAACGCCTTTCTTATAACAAGACTTTGACTGTGAATAGACAATGTGTTTTCCTTTCTTAAGGAAAATTATTTATAAGCCTGTATCAATCTGAAAAACAAACAAATGGCAATTAATTATATTTCTACAAATCAGGGGTGCGAAAATCAGCAATTCAATTGTACTATTGAATTGCACTTTGTACTACCAAAATATTTAATTATTGTTTTTAAATATTATTAATTATCCAGGTAAGTATATAATTACAGTATATAATTTAAAAAAGAATAAATCTTTTCTACTGGACTTTTTTGTGATGCGACCTGAATCGGAAATGACATACCGTACTCGCGCGAATAAGCGCCCGGGCACCTAAAATAATTTTTTTGCACTTTCTGAGTGGCGCATAGGCCTATTCGTTCAAACGGGGCGATTCTGAAAACATTGTGAAACTTGAGGGGGCGCTTATGATGGAAATAGATGAAACTCGAGGGGTTCTTATGGTAAATTATTAAATTCAAGAGGAAGTTTTTGGATGAAAAAAGATTATATAAGGACATTACGAATGGTGGTTAGGCGGAAAAGATAAATGTCCAGAGAACATGGCAAGAATGCTGTGAATATTTACATAACAGCAAAATAGCAGATGAAATTAGTGGTGGTGGGTAGTGGTTAGCTTGTTGGCCATCGGCCGATTGAGATTAGCAGGATGGCAGGATCATTGTAATTTTTCTTGAAAACTCAGATGAAAATGTGCTAAATGTCGGAAAAAAAAGTGGAGTAGGACTAGGCATAAACAAATATGTAAAAAGAATAAAGTTGGAAATATACTGTCTATCCAGGGATCGGAGCTTTAATCTGTCCAAGAGAAATATCCACATTTTGATATTGAGACCTAAGAAGAGTTATTCCACTCTGCAGCTCAAATTATGCCAACAACCACTGTCATGGGAAAAATCACGGTCGTAAAATCATTATTGTTATGTAAACTTACCCATCTGATCCTGGCACTAAATAAATGGGGTTCTCTGCTGGAAAAACATGAACTGGCTGACTGGTAACTCATTATTTACTATATAACATGTAGGCCTACTGTTGAAAATATGCACTGTAATAATGTATTACATTTGAAAAGAAATATGGAGAAAAAAAGAACAACCACAGTCCAAGGATTGATTGGATTTATTGACTTGCTAAAAAGAAATTCTTATGATATTATTATTGAATATGCGCTTATTCAAACGGGGCGCTTTAGGAAATTTTCAGATTAGGACGGGCGGTTATTCGAGAGAGGCGCTTATTCAAACGGGGCGCTTATTCGCGCGAGTACGGTTGTCACAAAATAAATAAATTCAGTTTAAAGATTTATTTATTTTAAAAAATTAATATATAATTATTATTTTCAGAACACAATACTTTATAACAGATCGAATCCAGGAATTTCGAAATGAGGGGGCACCGATTTATCAAAAATGAGCAAAGTGAGGGGAGATAGCAAGGGGAAAGAGTCAATAGGGAGGGGACCAAATTAAATGGGTTCCATCATTTTGCATATTTCATTAAGTTAACTTTCAATTGAACATTTCAACAACACAAATTTCCTCGCCAATAGGGAGTCGGCAACTTTTGGTTTTGGCAAAGGACTTAACTGTACCTGGTATTTTTTGTTCAGTCGAAAACTTGCGATTCATGAAAAAATTAATATATTTGTGAATAATCAGGTCTGATGATATTTCCGATGGCTTAGATGCAACTTTGATTGAGCCTAGGCCTAAGCAGATAAATACTGTAATTCCAATAATGGTATAATTATTGTTTAGTTTATGTTGTTACTAAATTGTAACATTTTGTCTTTGAGTGTAATTAATTATTTGTTTGAAAAAAACGATGTAGGCCTATTTGCTATTATTTATGCAGGGAGTTGTTATAGTGATAGTTGTCACTATAACAACTCCCTGGTTTATGTAAGTACGCAACTTCTAATGTTTCCATCCAGGGACTTAACATGAGACTATACCATTCCATGTATAGGTAAACCATTTCTGATGTTATTAGCGTTACATAATTAGCCAAATAACAACAAATTAAATACATTATGGATCTTAAAATATATTATTTAAATAAATTTATTTGTATCACAATTTAGGCCCTATTTTTAATGTTATGTTAGCTATTATTAACGATTCCTAAAAGAAAACAATCAGTGCAATGCTTACTATCCCCATCCCTCAATGGACGTTACTGACGATGAGTCACGAATCATGTTGTTGATAGTTAAAATTAATGTGATGTTTTCCTATTCTCGATGCATAATATTTTCCTTATTGTTGTTATGTTTGACTCAGAGTAGCCTAGGAGTTTACCATATTGATGATTCGCAAGGAGCTGGGAGACGATTTGATGGCATCGGTGGGCTTAGTGGTGGAGGGGTAGGTACTACAATGTGACTAAGCATACTGAAGGGTCCTAACCTAGGCCTAGGCAGCTTTCACTAGGCCTAATCTAAGCCTCCATCCAGGCCTCTCTCTCTAGAGTTCCGGTTTAATTCCAAGGCCTAGGCCTAGCCTATATGCAGTTGTTTCTGTAAGTTAAGTTAAAGTGTGCTACCCTATCTTAACCTCATCTCAAACTAGGCCTAGGCATTGGTTTAGCCTAAATATATATTTTTTAGAATAAATAATCTACCCCGTAGCCTGCCTAGCTAGGGGCCAGACCCAATTCAAGGCCTGGCCACGTCTGCCAGTGTCTATCTCTAGTTAGGCCTAGTTCAACATTTCATTCCCTTACTATTTGTTTATAATACAGTTGTTCTTTTGTATTATTTATTATCAGGCTACATCCCGACTGCTTGTCAACTATCAAGAACCAGAAAGGAGTTATATTTTGGACTATTTATTCTTGGTAGGTAGGTAGGTGTGTGTGAGTTACCGTATATTCTCACATATTAAAGACGAGGCTTAAAATAGCAAATTAGGATTGAAAAACTGGGTCATCTTATACATACACATTTTTTTTAATCTTTAAAATCTTGTTCGTCTTATGTGCAGATTATCCGTAACACACATATTTACTACTGAAATGAAGCTAACTGTTAGTATGAATGAATGCCATACAAGCAGGCAAATTAATGCTGATATAATGAAATCCATGAACTTTACCAAGCCTAGATCTTGAAATTGGCGATGGTAATTTAAAGGCTAAGACGGCTTGATCCCAGTGGATTGTATCGAAGGAGGAATTCCAACAGTGAATTGGGGGACTGACATACAAAAATTGTCCAGCATCTTCTCAAACTTGGGGGTCATCTTATATGCGTATTGCCTTATATACGGGAATATACTGTAAACCTAGACATTAGTAATTTTCAGAATTTATGATATAAGATGACAATATAACTTGTGAAACATAAACCGTACCCAGTGAAAATTACAGGTGATGAGTTGATAGTGTTGGTGGTGCTGCTGCTGGGAGGCACTGCTATAATGGCATTGATGATGAGCATAGAGATGGCCATCCAGTAAACTATAAATTAAAATAAATAGCTTTTATGAATAATAAGCTTCTAAGCATAATATAGTGATATATCATCCAATGTTACTGAATGATCGGGGCAAGCTCCAAGCACTGCCTATAATACACAGCCTATGCATTACAGACTGACAAGCCAAACAAACTTTGGCTCAGAGTGTATTTACTACACTGCCACAGCCTACACAGACATACCAACTATTAACTGCCAGAGTAATATTAATAAATAAAACACAACCCTACCTGGATTATGGTTGAAATTAGCCACACAGGAAAGCTAAGAACTTTTCACTCCAGAGCCCATTACACACTGCTACACTTAAACATAGTCAGCTAACAAAACACACTAACAATGGCTACTGTAACTGATTTGCATATAGGTGAGCTCTGTGCTTGGATATAGACTTTAGAATTAAACTAAAATAAAAGTTAAATATTGCACATAACAGTGGGAATGGCAGAAGATGGTGATTATTGTTGTGATAATTAAGTGATGATAAATTTCAATACTGATGATGATGGTGGTGTCAAAATCATGGTGGAGATGATATAATGATGACCAATGGTGATTATGACATTGAGGACAACAATAACTACAATTATATAATTTTCTTGTTCTCTAGCCTCAGTTTGGTGCTTCGCTGCACATTTTGAAGGTGGAGATTGGAGGCGATGCCCAGAGTACAGATGGTACCGAGTCATCTCACATGCATTCTCCAGATGATGAGAACTATCAGCGAGGTTATGAGTGGTGGTTGATGAAGGAAGCAAAAAAGGTCAGTCGGTATTCCACTCCTACAAATGCCAGGGTTCGTTTTCCCCTTTTACAACTTAAAACCTTGGGCTTCATACTGTGATATCCTAATTTATAATAAACATATTTTTGATCATTTCTCCATTCAAGATTTTATTCTCATCATTTCATGAAGTTTTTGTGTGTTTTCTGGAAATGAGTTCCGTATCTCAAACAGCCAAAAAGAGCTGAATTGCAAAATAACAAGAAATCTTAGGAGTTCTCAATTTTTCTCATCGTTTTCTCTATTTTACATATGCTAGACAGTGTTTGTCTTAGACTATTTTATTATAATTTCTATGCTGTTTTTAAAACATAATTACGCATCAGTAACCCATGTTTACAAGTTAAATATCTACTGGTTCTTACCTATCATCTTACATTGACATTTGGCCTCGCTCTTGGAAATGGTGGGCATATAATATGTTCACACTAAAACAAAAATTTGTATTTATTATTTTTCATGTAATTAATTAATCTATTTTTATCTTGTAGCGTAACCCATCAATCAAACTGTACGGGTTACCATGGGCATTCCCTGGCTGGATTGGAAACGACAAGGGCTCTCCCTATAGTAACATTACAATGACAGCCAACTACATCTTGAAATGGATGAATGGTGCTCAGAAATATCATGGCCTTTTTATAGATTATATAGGGGTATGTTTCGACAGTGTATAAACTGTAGTAGTATGAGACTAGCTTTTATATTTATATTTTACATAGGACATTATATTCATTAGAGTATTTACACTCATTCGGAGAATGACATTCATTGAAAATATTACACATAATCAGAGTATTTACACTTATTTACACTTAATCAGAGTCTTTACACATTTAGAGAATTACTCATTTAGAATGTAACCTACGGGGTATTTACTTATTTAACTTGTTTAGAGTGCTTATATTTATTTAGAGTATTGCACTTAAGACGTTGACTGCCAGACCTTTTTTAAGGTTCCTTCCCATGTGCCAAAACAAGTTTACATGTACAAACATACTTTTTTGAAATTTTATCTAATATTTATCTAAATATTAGGGTACGAGTAAACTCATTGACGGCACTGTGATAGAACTTTTGATTGACTATGCCAAGTGCGAGTTATCTCGTCCACTTTTTTATGGGTTGGGAATATGTTGAAAGGGCGCCCCCACTTGTGCTGCTCGAACTACCGGCAACATAACACAACAGACATACATAAGTCATTTGTACATTATCATCTATGTGCATCTTCCCCGAACTACCAGCCGTTGAATCTGTGGTTCTACAATGTATAACAAAGAAGTTATAAACGCTAGAATGTTACCCGGATTTTGACGAGTATACTCGTCCCTAGCGCCCTCAGCAACACCCTGTGGGCGAGTATACTCGTTGCTGGCAGCCAACGGGTTAAATACTTGGGAACATAGATGATAATAAGTTCCTTTTTAATTTACAGATATGGAATGAGAGGATGTATGATAAGGACTATATTAAACTTCTCAGGAAAATGTTGAATGAGAATGGATTTGAAAAAACCATGCTCGTTGCCAGTGACAACAAATGGGACATCAGTACTGATATTCTGCTTGATGCTGACCTAGCCAAAGCTGTTGACATTATTGGGTATGTAATGGTACCACAATGCAGTATTGTTTTTTTGGTTTTTTTTTTCAATATTTATTTGCTACTACAGATATTTTAAAAGTTTAAATTAACACTAGAGTTAAAGGTGTTAATGCAAGTTTTAAGTAATGATAGTATGCCTACACTGTTTACCACAGTCAATTTTGTGTGTGAAACACTTGAAATTATGCTGATACCAAAACCATACAGCACTATGTCTACATGCCTGCATACCCTTAGGTTGAATAAAAGAATAATTTTTCTGCACTAGGACTCACACAAAATATAAATAGAAGTCTATTTTGAGAAAAGTGTCATCAATTTTATCATTCAAGTATCCACTATCCTGGTACGAAAACAACAGAAGACACTTTGAAAACTGGAAAGACCATCTGGTCCTCGGAGGACTACAGCACGTTTAACGACGAGGTCGGCGGTGGGTGCTGGGCACGTATCCTTAATCAAAATTACGTTAATGGCAACATGACGAGCACCATCTCGTGGAATTTGATTGCTAGCTACTACAACGCGCTGCCATACACAAGGAACGGGTTGATGACAGCCAACGAACCGTGGAGCGGACACTATGACGTTGACACTCCCATCTGGATATCAGGTCTGACATTTCAATTCTTTCATTTTTATCCTTGTGTGACAACAAGCAACAGTATTTATAATAATAATAATAATAATAATAATATAATAACAATAATAATAATAATATTAATATAATAATAAAGAAATACAAGGATAATGCTCTCTTTTATTATTTCATCAAAGAATACTCTAAAACAATTTTTTTTCTTCATTACACAATTTGTAGCCCACACAACACAGTTCACACAGCCAGGCTGGTATTACCTTAAGTACGGCTCAGGAGCAGGACATTTAGATAAAGGTGGAAGCTACGTGACCATCGTCAACGGTACCCAGCTCACCATGATAGTTGAAACTATGGTAACGATTACGATATAATTTTAATGAAGTAATGGAATTTTTATTACAGTAGAACCCTAAATAACTGGACACCTTCAGGACCAAAAAAGCATCCCTTAATAGGGGTGCCCCTGAATAAGGGTTGGTCGTAGTGTTAAAAGATATACTTTCCCTTGCTTAGTTCTCAAAAAAGTGGCCCTTAATAGGGGTGTACCAAAGGAGGGGTTCATTGTAATTGAATGATAGTAAAATTTTAAAATTTTGTTGCTTTGTATAAATAAAAAATAAATCAAATAATAAATAAATTAGAAAAACATGGCACGTACAGCTAAATCAGAAACAACTCTTACTACACGCTACATCAGACAAGAAATATAATTGCAATATGGAATCAACTAGAAAAAGACATTGATGAATAAGACACACATTATAGAGGAAATGAAAAACAGGATAGAATTCTTGCTCGTAAGGCATGGTATCCTAGATCTGTAACAGAGCTCCCAAGTCTCCAGGATTACCTTGGACTCACAAGGAATTTTGGTTCACCTCCTAGACTCCAGGAAACTCACACTTTCCCTCCCAAAAAATTGAAGTTCTAGATTTTTCCAGAATTTAAACAAATTTAAGCTGAATTTTCCCATCCTTAAGAATGGCAATAAGGCACAGATTTTTATATACGATTTATCAAACATTATGGGCGACAATAACATATTAACAGTGACCTAAACATGCCCAAGCCTCTTTATAGTAAGCATGGCGATAAGTTTCTGTATGTGTGTACTTGTGCATATGCTTTAATTAGTATATGTTTCACAAACCTCTGTCAGACCTGCATGACAGATTCTTCTGGAATTTGACTTTTACCATTTGGAACCCCTGGACTTTCCTAAGACTTTTATTAAAATCAGGAGAAAGCTGATGATGATGGTGTATCTAATATAATTGTTTCTACTAATTTCATTTTATTAAAAGTTGTATTATTAATTAAGTGATTCTAAACACATCACTTTGGCAAGTGTCACCAATTCCAAGCTTCTACCAAATAATAATAATAATAATAATATATGTTAAATTATTAAAATGTAAATTATTTTTTAGAGTCATGACCATTCCATCTGTATTCGACCCAAGCTGCCAGCGTACAATGTTACAAAACAAGAAGCAAACTTTCAGTTGAAAGGAACATTTGTAAGTCATGCTTTCAGTTTCCAAATACCGTGAATTTGATTAAAGAACAGCTTGTATTTTCTTAATGGTCAATGGTTGCAGCAAACAAGACCAAAATAAGTGACCAACACAAGAAAATAAACTTTTTAATATATTTATATTCTCCACATTATAAGCTTTGAATGATGGGCCATTTACTGGAATCCACTTACTGCCAAAGTTATGAGGAAAAGTATTACAGCTTCTCTGTGCTAAAGTATACAATGCTGGCACATTCTTATGCTAATTACTCGGTTTAACATTTAGCGACATTATTCTGGTTTTGGGATGGCCATCCTGAAATAGTTAAAATGGAAAATAAAAAACAATTATAAATTAAATGTTTTATGATTATATTTTCCTCCTTTGTTTTACTGCTACTACTGCTTCTGCTACGCTACTACCACTGCTGCTGTTGCTGCTGCTGCTACTACTCTGCTGCTACCCTACTACTGCTGCTACTACTACCACTGTTGCTGTTGCTGTTGCTACTACTACTGCTACCACTATTACTATTGCTACTGCTAATACTACTACTGCTGCCACTGTTGCTATTGCTGCTGCTAATACTACTACTACTGCTGCTGCTACTACTGCTGCTACTGCTACCACTATTGCTATTGCTGCTGCTAATACTACTACTACTACTGCTGCCACTGTTGCTACTGCTACCACTATTACTATTGCTGCTGCTAATACTACTACTGCTGCCACTGTTGCTATTGCTGCTGCTAATACTACTACTACTGCTGCTGCTACTACTGCTGCTACTGCTACCACTGTTGCTATTGCTGCTGCTAATACTACTACTACTACTGCTGCCACTGTTGCTATTGCTGCTGCTAATACTACTACTACTACTGCTACCACTGTTGCTATTGCTGCTGCTAATACTACTACTACTGCTGCTACTGCTACCACTGTTGCTATTGCTGCTGCTAATACTACTACTGCTGCTACTGCTACCACTGCCGCTATTGCTGCTGCTGCTGCTACTACTACCACTACCACTATTGCTATTGTTACTGCTGCTACTACTATTGCTATTGTTACTGCTGCTACTACTATTGCTATTGCTTCTGCTGCTGCTACTGCTATGGTGTTGAGTTATATGTTTTACATACCCATTTGTTTTCTTTAGGTGACTTGTGAAACAGTGTGGTAGATATTGTTCACTAGATTTATACTTTTCTTTTCAGGCTTCTATTAAGAGTTTAAATGTTTGGCATTCTCAATTCAAGTATGGCGGTGAACAGAGTGAAATGTTCATTCAAATGCAACCGATTAAAGTAAGTTTTAATAAAACCAATGGAAGTATTATTATCAATAGCATGTGTGTCCTGATGAAAAGCATTTAATTATACATTATTAGACCTTTAATTTTTTTATGATTCCAGATGGCAAAATAGCCTCCATGTGAAGCTCTGTACATATTATTTAAAAAAAGTGTTGTATGCCCAACTATAGTCATGAAATGGCTTATATATATTAATCATGTGATGTCATCATGACCATATTTAGGTATCTCACATGTTTTTTGTCAAATCATTAAGATAGTCTCTTTGTGGTCACTAGGTTGTAAATGGAGCTTTTACCCTAAGTCTAAATGTGGATGAAGTATACACACTGACAACATCGGCAACTGGAAAGAAAGGCCAATACCCTGCCCCACCATCTTCAAGTCCTTTTCCAGCTCCCTACTCTGATAATTTTAATGGTAAGTCCTCACAGTACCTGTCTTTAAAAATGCTAGAAGTGAATGTGTGTCAAGACACCACGCTAAAGCTCTATTCCATGATAAACCAATAAACCTTTTTGTAGTACTTTAATAATGAAATGAAATTCATCTTATCTGTGTGATAACTTATAAGCTTATGTTTTTATTTTATAAAATGAATATCATCTTAACTGCATGATGCATAGAGTATCCGTATGATGATGATGATCCTCTGAAAAATATATTTTAAAAAAATGTTTACATTGCAATTAAAATCAATAATACTTTTTAAAAAATTGTATTAAATTCAGATTATGATGAGTTCAGTGAGGGTAATAATTTTGCTGACCAGTCTGGGGTGTTTGAGATACGTCAAAGTAACAACGCTGACCATGGCCTAGTGATGCGCCAGGTGGCTACTTCCTATCCCGTTGTGTGGTGCCACGATTCCCCCTCTCCCATATCTTTCATTGGAAACTCATCCTGGTAAGTTGTGTATTCACTGCAGTAAGATACTTCAATATTAAGTATAATAGCTTAACACAGATAGATTCCTTACTCCCACTCATTTGCAATTGGTAAATGTGGTCCGTAACTACATAACAACAGGGACTGTATAAACCAGTACACCGGGGTAACCCCTACTCGTCTCAAAAGATGTACCGGGTTCTTTGAATGAGCTACTTTGTGTACTCTAGGCCTACAGTTTATAGTCCTTATCTAACACTTGTTCAACCACCAAAACCACATTCGATAATTATTATGGCTGTAGGTTGCAGTGACCCTAACTAAACCACTTGGCCATTTGACTTAACGTATTGTAAACTACAAATAAAAGTTGAAATACTGACGATAATCTTTTTATCCTATCTAATTATCATGTGCCCCTGTTTCAGGAAAGATGTGAGTGTAAGTGTAGAAGCTTTCCTGGAGGAGGACAATACAGGGGTTATGTTGGCAGCAAGGGTAACCAATGGCGGATGTGCTGTTCACAAAGCTAGTGGTGTATTCTTCTGGATCCTAAGCAACAGTACTTACCTACTAACAGCCAAGCTAGGTAAGTGGACTTTTTCCTAATGGCAGTAACAAGTCTTACATGGTCTAGTAGTTAATTATGTCACAAGTTTAAGCCTGAATTCGTCCTTCCAAACTGTCACTGTATGAACATTGTATGTAGTGGAGCTGCTCTGATATGCACTAATTGATTCATCAATAACATTTTTTTTTTTTATTGGTTTATTAAGAGATCTCTTTTCTGATTGATCCACAGTGATATGTTTACTTTACAAATGTTATTGTTTTGGTGTTTGTTCTGTCATTTTTTATATCTATTTAAATTGTAAGGAGCAAGCCATTGTAAAGACGTTTGTCACCTGTTGGCTTGCTTCAGTCACTTATGTATTTTTGTGTGAAGTTCCTTAAATAAATAAATAAACCATGTTTCCGAGATAATGGCCAAAACATGTTGGAATGTCAACATTTTAAAAATCTATTTTGCTATGTTATTATTTTCTCCAATTTCGGAGTTAAAACAACATTTCCTAACAAATTTGGTCTTAGCCTGAAAATCCCCCCAAATTAAAACTTTGAATGCCAAATTCTCAAAACTGTTATTTAAACAGCTGTATGTTTAAACCCCTGAAATTTCACAATGAAACATCTGGTTTAAATGATTCTTTCATCATTTTATAACCTTCATTTTCTCTTGATTTTTTGCAAGGAGTAACTGGTTTGGTTTATCTTTGCCACATATAGCGGCAGTTAGTCTGTAAACTAGTGGTGCCATTGTGTTAAAGAACACTAATTATTTATGTGCACCAATTGTTCTTTCTAGATAAATTTTTGGTTTACAGTCAAGGCACTGTGGATGTGAGCAAGGATAAATGGTTCACTATGGGTTTAGTTGTGAAGGTAAGAATATTTAGTAAGCTAATGTATGATTGAATCTCTATTCTATGACCACAGAAATAAGTACTATGTAAATTTTGGAAAATGTGCTATAACATTACCATAAAAATAATGTTTGGTGTTTTTTTTTACAATCCAAAGATAGTGCCAAGTGCTATTTTCATTTGTAATAAATAAAGATTTTCTATGTTCACAAGTTATATTAAAAGTAGAATGCTTAAACTTAGCATATACTGTACATGTTATTAGAATATGTAACTAGAATATTCCGTTAAAAATTATATAGTATTTCTTTTTGGTTGGCAACAAGCCCTTTCCAGATTATCAAATTTTATTTGACAGAAACATGTGACATGCCTAAATATGGTCATGATGACATCACATCATGACCATATATAGGCACATCATGACCATATATAGGCACATCATGACTATATATGGGAATACAGTACTGTTTTTTGTCAAAGAATTTGATAATCGCTTTAGAGCACTTTTCAACAGCAGACCAAACTACACTAAACTCGCAACAATTTGTTTTTGTACATTATTCTTATATTGCAGGGAAGACAAGCAACAGGGTCGGTTAATGGCAAGCAAGTCTTCTCTCATAAATTGTACGAGGAACCTAAGAATGGATTTCTGGCTATAGGCACACTAACATTCGCTCCAGCAATGTTTGACAATTTTAACATCACTTCAGCGGCTTAAGATTATCTTTACCCTCAAAACAATTGTGAACATTCCTACTATTTTTCTTTCATGTTATGTAATAAAAAATAATTTGTAAAGTGAAGTTTTAGCAATTCAATATTGTACAATGCAGTAAGTACAAATATAAATTATATTTTTGTATTAATTACAGTGGAAAGAGAAGTATGCATACTTAGTATACTAGACAGTTAAATTCAGTATAAAAATATTTTGAATGGCGGGGGGGGGGGGTTGTTGCTATAATTAAAATATAAGCTAGAGTAGTAATCATTTGTTAAAAGCTATTGGTTAAGGTACACAGTACTAAAATATGTTTAACGTTAGAGCAGGCATGGTATGAGTTAAATGACATGTCGACAAGGACGCGAAGCCCTGCCCACAAAGCCACAAAAACCTTGGACAATGGCTGCTAGACTCATGTATGTTTCGCGTTGACAACCAGCTGTCTAAGGAAATTAAAATGTCCGAGAAATCACGTGACTAAATGATGCTCGCTGATTAGTCGGTTTATTTGTCAATCAAATCTTGTCGAGATGTTAATTACCTATCAATACATGTGTACTCTAACTGGATCTGTCACTCGTGAATCTACAATTTATACAGTAAAATATACAGTGATAAGTTTATAATTTAAATTACAAGTGTCCATTAATCTATCAGTTTTACAACACACTATGGCTATCACCAGCAGTGGTCTATACCCACTACCTTTAGCCCCACCAGAAAAGTTATACTTCTACTGTTGATGTTACTGTACTTCCAGAAGCTCAAAAATGGCACTCTCAGGCTAGCAGTCTCTGCTAGCAAATATCGACTATGGCTGCATAGTTGACCATTATTGATTGGTCATGTGAACTTATTCCATATTAAAAACACTCTGGTTTGTGTTCCATTCCCAACAAAGTCTATTTCAGGAACCAGTCACATAAAACGTATGTACCGGCCAAATTTTTTTCACCCTTTAGTGCAACTTATCTTTGCCCAAGAAAAAAAAAAATCATACAAGATTTTTTAGAATGAAAGTATGCAATCACGATAACTGTGCGTAATTTCCCGCTAGCAAGAAAATCGTCGAAAAGTAACAGAAGAAATATGCAAAAATAAGAAACATCTTTCGAAAATATACTTCAAATTACGATTCTAGTGTTCTTCAAATCAAAATCACAGGCTTGTAAGTCCGTTGCCAGTGCATTTCCATAACCTTTTTAGTTTTTTTGTACTGGAGTCTGTAGTTATTAGGAATAACTAATATTTTTTATGAATAAATGCAAAATGTGACCACTGTACAAAATAAATATCCAAACAAGAAGTACTTAAGCAGAGAAGTGTATTTATTTGATAACAACATAGCAAGATTTTCGGACAAAATAAAAGAAGGGACGTTGATAAGCCTTGCTGAAGATATCAAACAGGTAGCGTTGACACCCAACATAATATCCATGTCGCTCACCCTAACCCCTAGCTTACTCAAGTTTTTTCATAACTCCTTCTTACCTCACTCCCTAACTTACACGAAGTTAAATCATTTGCATTATTTCCTTTATATGACACATTTTAAATTGTAATTATTTGCTGCACCTCGCAGAGAATACCAAACACTTTACTAATTCATTTTTTCCAATTATTCCAACACTTATATATTGTTCATAGCAGTTTAACACTTAAATAGCCGTTCAAAATTCATTCTTTCTTGCAGAAAACGTAACCTCCAAACCATGACATAAACCCATGTTCGACCTCTTAGCTTTAGCCCAGCACTTCCTTTTGAAACTTTTTCCAAATGCACTGACTGATAGAAAGGGCGCTCTATACAGGATTTTCATGACTATCTCCATCTGGTGCCAGTTTTTCTCAAAAACCTGACCAGATAATTTCTAAGTTTAAGTACTACACCAGACTATCCTACATACTGTTTACATTTATTATTAAATAAGAATTCTCCCACTAAACCTCTAAGTCACTATACCCCACTAAAATACCCCACCTTTTAACAGGTGGGATGAATACATGAGCATATCTATGCTAACTTCTATATGGATAAAACTCTTCCACTTTTGCAGAGGAGAAAAAAAAACAAAAAAAAACCATGCATTAAATAAACTGCTTCAAAGCATTTGATAATTTTTAAGTAAAACTAAATAATTAGGCAAACAAAATGAGGGAAGACTTCACTGTGTTATAAATGAGGAGATACCGACTATTTGACTGCGTTTCCATCTATTTCAACATGTTTTAAGCAATTCAAAATTGCATTAAAGAATAACATTTAATGTTATTTTACTTGTATTATAAAGTAGTTACACAATGAGATGAGAGAGAATTTATTTTGACTTACAACATGGTACTGATGTATAAGGGTGCATGATGATAATGATGATGATCAACATCATCATAATAAATGGTATCCTAGATACTGTATATGAACACTCCTAAGAATTATTCAAGAGCAGGCAGGATTATGATGATAATGATGACAGCGATGATGGTGGTAGTGATTGTAATCACAATGACGATGCTGCAACCAACAATCGTAAATTCTAGCAGTCAACCGAATTGAATTTTTCCAAAAAAAAATTAGTCTTTGTTATATTAGACTGCCTAATCCATTCTGTAAATTACTACTTTCTTTACACACAGTGACTGACAATGCAGGTTAGTTATTACGGAGGAGGAGCCCTTACTAGGCCAACACTCAAATAGCTATACATCCACCTTATTTTTCATACACTTTAACCATTTTTTTAATAATCAATTCCTACCTACTAATATCCTACAAGTCCCAACATAAAGCTACACATATCTATGTTTATATATCATACATATATATGGGTATAACAACACAGGGCAATAAACACCAAAAAAAATTATGTGACATGCAATTATAAAGCAGTTATCAAAAATGATCCTAAAGGGGTTAAATCCCAATATTATTTGGAGATAGTCAGAAAGGATTAGTGACATGAGTTTAAAGGTCATGGTTCAGAGGTTAGTGGGCTTGTACAGCACCCTTCTTGATGTTCAGATCTTTGACGTTGAAAGAAACTTTTTCTTTGTGTTGTAGAGGTGTTGATGCCATACAGAACCTGAAACATAACAAAAACATTTAGTGGCACCAGGTAGCATTAATGAAAATTAAATAAAATATTTAAAAAATAAAATACAATGCATAAATAATAGAGGTCCTACAATTTGCAATCTCTTTAAATTGTGATCCTTGGCAATGCAACATGCACTCCCTTTTAGGCCAGTCCAATAATAATAATAACAATTGTTCAGATAACAACAAACCTTTTGAAGTCTTCAATTTCTCTCTCTGACTCATCCATCTCGGCAAAATCAACATCTTCCTTCGGCATGAAGATTTCATCTAAATTTAAAAGAAAAATAAAGCTTGAATTATATTGGTTTTCATCTAATTTATCTACATTTTAAAAACAAACATAGGACGTGTTCAAATAAACAGAAAAAGCACTTTCAATAATTTTTCAGATAATCATAGGGAATACTTTTTATCCAGCAATTATCAGGTGAAAATTATCACAAATTATTCAGATAATTTGCACAATATTCAAGCAATTTTGGAAAAGTACCTACCAGAAAATTAACCTAAAGTCACAGAGTTGATTAATATTAATTCAATATCATCATTAACAAGTGTAATAAGTGTCCTCTGGATATTGCTAAGATCCCATTAAATGACAGAATTAACGTACTAGTGCATTTGTGAGACAAGAAATTTATATGTGGGACAAGCACGTATTCCTGACTTTCTGATTTGTCCTTTGTTATGTTTGCTTCACACTCTGGAAAGGTCCATTATATATGAAAGGGATGTTTGCTTATGTGAATGCAAACTATTTCAATTTATATTTTTAGTTTAAAATCTTTCCACTTATTCTGTCCTTACCGATTGAAGTGTTAGTTTCTTGAGATCGCTTCTTTTTCTTCTTCTTCTCTTTGGTTGGTGTCGACAGGCGACTGGTACTCTCACAATCTTTAAGGGCCTCCTTATTCTTCTTATTTTTCTCTCCATTTGTAAGCTCCCCATTTAGCGACTGGGCACTCATTTTCTTGACACCATTCTTCTCTGAGGTCTGTTTGTTTTGGGTTATTCCATTGAGCTTGGTGTAATCTGTTTCCGCTTTCTTAGCTTTGGTCTTACTGCTGTTGTTAGACTGTGTAATTTTCTCCGCCGCTTGCATTTTGTTGGTAGATGTCACGCCATTTTTGTCGTGGTCTGAACGTGATGGAGAAGCAGAACCTACTCCCTGTGCATTTGAAGTTTCCTTCTTCTGTAATTGCTGTTTTGATAATGAAACTTCTTCCTGTTTATTTGGACTTGACGATGTTGCAATGTTTGACTCCGCTAGCACCCTCTGTGTCTTGGACTGCATTTCTTTCTGTTGTTGTTGCTCCGATTGTTTCCGGTTTTTCTTCCTGTTTTGCTGTTCCTCTTTCTTAAGTCGCTCTTTCGCCGCTCGCTCATGTTGCGCTCTTCTCTCTTGTTGAAGTCTTTCCTTTTCCAGGTTCTCTCGCTGCTGCCTTGCCCGTTCTTCAAGTTTGGCTTTCTCTTCGGCCTAAATTAAAGAAATGATTCAATAATAATTGTTGTTATTTTTCAATTTCCAGATTTTACACAGAAAATGTATATAGATTTATATATATCGTTTTCATATATAAAAACCATCAGAATATATCAAACAGTAATATAGTATGTCAGATATTCAAATGACAATATAATCAAAATACTTTTGAAAATATTGATGACAATAATTTTATATTGAACTTTTTTTAATTATATTCATATACAAAAACCATCAGAATATATCAAACAGTAAGTCAGATAACCAAATGACAATATAATCAAAATAATGACAATGATAATAGCGATGACAATAATTTTCATATTGTAAACTTTTTAAAATGTCTTCAGTATAGATTTCATATATAAATTGCAGTTTTACTAAAAAACAAACAAATACAATGCCTAAAAAATAAAAGGATGAAAATAATGATGAGAAAAACATCATCCATAGCTCATGATGCAGTGTGTTAGGAGGAACTTTACCTTGCGTTGTTTCTGCCTTTGTCGCTTAGCTGCCTTGGAGCTTTGTTTCTGATTTTCTTTGCCATCTTGTTTCTGGTTCTCTTTGTTGCCCTTGTCTCCTTTGATGAACTTCACCAGCTCGTCAACATCTTGAATTCTTGAAAATTCTCCTGAGCTGCTTTTCTCACTTGGTTCATCATATGAATCCATGTGCTCCTTAGGCTAGTAAACAAAAACAGAATAATGTCAAAACTTTGTATAACCATGAATATAATAATAATAACAATAACCATATAACAACAACAATAATAATACAATAACACTAAGAATATATTAGGTATATATAAGTTCGATTTTTTAAATATTTATAAAAAATACATTATATTTTAAATTTCCAGTTTATTTCCTCTTCTGTATTTATAGGATTTCTTATTATAAAACCACTTTTTAATTTATTAACCTTAAAAAAATTCCATGCTGTTATTAATGTGTTGATAATTTCTTGAATGAGCTCCATCAATATAGGGAATATGCTTCAGTTGAAATTAAATTAATAAATAACTTCTTAATAAAATATATACCTTTCGTTCTTTTAGTCTGAGCCTCAACCGGTCTCTCATTTCAGACACTGATTTCAAATAAAACTCATTCTCATTCTCAACAAAATACTAATCCCACATGCCCTAGCTAAAAACCAGGTGAAGTTAGGCAATGGTATCTTACTTTGCTTACCAAGTCCACAGGTGAGCCTGAGCTGACGTTATTCATCGAACCTAACCTTTGAAGCTGATTGGCTGCGGCCTGTAAAGCATTCTGGGACAGCAGGTAGGCTGTCTCTTATACACATCTAGATGTGTATAAGAGACAGCCGCAAGACTGATAATATTTCATTTACTTACCGCCCCATGACCAAAGAACTCACAGTAGCAACAATCACAGTGTTTTGATTCTCGTGCTTGGTTCGAGTTTACTGTCGAACTACTCTTCTCGGAGCAGCTATCGTCTGTATCCTCCGCTTCAAATGGTAAGTGCGTTTCACATTCTGGGTCACTGAAGCCAAAGAGCATACACAATAAGCACACTTATTTACTACATTCTTTTTGGAATAAAATCAATGAATATAACCTGTGTGTCTGTGATGTACAGTTATTATAATCTTTTTGCAACACCCTTTTTAAATAAGTGAAATATGCAATTAACGATGATTATGAAATATCTGATTTATATAACAATTGTGAAAAACTTGACATAATAACAATAAGAAATTACTACATAAATATATAACAATTATCCCAGCAACACTGGATAATATATGACAATATAACAAATGTTGAATATTGTGTGGGACATATAATTATGGAATATTTTACTGGATATTTAACTCTTTAATAGAATGTATAATTGGATATATTACATTTATGAAAAATTCAATAAGACATCACTTATGAATTATTCCATTTGATATTATTAATGAATATTCCTTGGAATAAATATCAATTATTGAGTATTATAAGATATATTATGGAAACTATTAAATTTACCTGCATATGCTTGTTGAGGTTGGTGTGCTGGTTGATGTTTGAAGAGCAGTGGTGCAGAGACCTGTCTGTGGATCTATCAGACCTGGTGATGCGTTGCCATGATGGAAACAACCTGACATATCAAACCCATCAAAACATTCTATGATAAATAGAATAGAAATGAATTACACAACACAAAAAAAACTTAAAAACAGGAAACAAAAGTAGAAGAATAGAAAGACACATCAAAACAATCTATGATAAACATAAAGAAGCAAAAACATAAATAAAATAAACTAAAAAATGAAATAAGGAGCATTTGAAGAAGATAAACTGTTTTAACTGCATTATCTATATGTTATCCACTTCTTTAAATAAATATAAAATAAATATAGAAGCAGAACAAGAGAAACAGATTATAGAAGTGAAGAACTAGGAAGAGGGTTACTCATTTGACTGTTTGGAAAAAGCCTGAAATGTAAATACCGTATATTGTCTTCCATAACTTACCCCGAGTGCTCCTATGGTCCCCTTTGGCCCCTTCCTTTCCCCTTCCTTGGCCTTTTGTCATCGCAAGCCGAAGCATATCAGCAGTGAGTTTGGACGGGAGCTGATTCGCTGAGCTGCATTGGTGTTGAGATGCTGAGGGTGTTGCACAACTTGGTTGTTGACTGGCTTTCTTTGCTGCAGGCATATGTTTAGCACAAAACTCTGTTGCTGGAGCAGGCAAGGAAGAACTGGTGTGTTTGGGGCTGTTGTGGACATTTGCGTGACCGTCCCCCTCCACTTCCCGTGCTGCGTCGTGATCTGTTTTACCATTACCTAGACACGAATCTGAGAAGGTGTGACCGCTGTGGTGTTTCTTATCTACTACTGTGATTGTATTGGCTGTCGATGTATGCATATGAAGTGATGAATGCATATCGTAAGGAGAGGTTGTGAGGTCATTTGAGGCCACGCCCCTGGAATTCAACGCGGCCTTGACACTTTGAAGAAGATCTGGGTCACTGTCGCTGCTAGCACACCTTGAGCTAAGTGTCTTCTTTGCACTTTCGTACGCATTATTCCAATCGCCCCGAAATAGCTGCCGCCGTTGCTCCTGCTGCTCAATGTCGTAGTGGAATGCTTGTGATGTGGATGTTGGGGGCGTTCTTGTTTGTTGTTTGTGTGAACCTAAGTTATATAGATGAGGATGTATGATTGGATGTTTGGCTGTGACACCATGCCGACTCAAGTCAACGGGTTGGTTCATCATATTCTGATAGACGAGGTAGGGGGCAGCAGACTTGAAGCCCTCTACTGCTTTCGCTGTCACTGCTTGTGATAAGAGAGCCTTGCTTGCTGCTGCTGCTGATGTAGTGCACGCATGACACTCGCACAGTTTGGTTTGGACACTCTCCTCCTAAAAAGATAAAGATGGGTACTTATAAGGGTACTTATCCCACTTATTTAGCCATCAGAATCAAAATCATATTTTATTTGTCTTTTTGGAAATTACAGTGGAACACGATTGTTCTAAGCATCCACAAAAATGAACAGACACGTATATAAAATCAAAACAAATAACTTATTGCTACTGAATATATTTAACTGACTGTCCTGCAGCTAACTATGAGCTGTTAATATAATTCTACTTTAACTAAACACAAAAAAAAAAAACATAGAGGTAGAGCTAAACCCACCCTTCCTATTAATCTCACCAATGAATAAAAGAGTAATCCCCTTACCATAAGACTAAAAAATTTAAAATTTTAGAAATTTGCAAAAAAAGAAAGAAGCAAATGGAGGAATCTAGTACAAGGCATAGGCGAGGGAGCACAGCCAAAAAATCAAATGATTATTGGATGAAATGGTATTAAAGTAAATTAAGTCACCCCACAAATTACATGTCATGGGGGTACAAGCATTGTATTATTGGAATAAGTTATGATAGAGCTACATATGATGGACACTGATTTCAAATAAAACTCATTCTCATTCTCAACAAAATACTAATCCCACATGCCCTAGCTAAAAACCAGGTGAAGTTAGGCAATGGTATCTTACTTTGCTTACCAAGTCCACAGGTGAGCCTGAGCTGACGTTATTCATCGAACCTAACCTTTGAAGCTGATTGGCTGCGGCCTGTAAAGCATTCTGGGACAGCAAGTAGGCCTTGTCTTCGGGATCTTGTACAGGTGACGGAGACGACTCTGAATCCAAATCATCTGAATCATCTGAATCATCAGAATTCGGAGAACTGTAACTATAGGAACAAAATAAATTAAAACATTACTTAGCAGATTAACATTTGCAGTACCGTAACAGTAATTCAATAGTCACTGTTGACATTAGATGATGCATTAGTTAATTAAGGCATACATTCAATCCTGTAATTTAATAATCTCTCGAGGATATCCATGTGTGCACTTGTGTACACTATATAGAATCGATTGCATCTTTCTGAAGAGCAGGGAGTTACCCTGATACGATTCAATTTAGCCCCTGCCGTCATGGAATGATGTTAACATGAAGCTCCGTAAGTACATCTTTACGTCAGCTGGGTAGTCACAAAACCCGCCAATACGCAATTCAGCACAATGACACCGCAAGTTATGGTTTATTCTCCTACCTTTACCCTCTATTAGATGAGAAAATAGAAAAAAAAAACCTACCTTGAAGGTACCAAGTCATTGCGCGAGAATATCGGTATGTCTTCGCTATCCTCTTGAGATGAGCACTCCGATGAGCTAGTGGATGAGAGGTCAGGGGGATTGATTCCCTGCAGGTAGTTGTCTAAGACTGAGAGCTGCATTGGACTACCCTCTGCTAGCTGCTTTAGGCCTATCTCCTCATACAACTCAGGGGTTAACAGGCTTGTTGTCAGCCTAGAAATACTGCACTCATCACAAAGACACCTTGGTGAAATAAAATAATTAAACATTGTCATCACAAAAAATATAGCACTATAGATGTTTTTTCCTATATGTCACAAGTCACTCACTAAAGCCAGGCACTCGCATAAACCACAAAAAGATATGTTGTAGTTCATCCTGTTGTTCAAGAGTTAATAGTGTTTAATAGCCCATTTGATTACCTCTTCTTCTTGCCACTGTGTTTTTTGTCATGCATGGCCGACTCAGACCCATTGAGTAACCTCAACACATCCACTTGTTGATTATGACCTATCTCATCACATGCTTTCCTCTTAAACACATCTAAGTCTTGCTCTAATATTTGCCGACAATAACCCTTAAAGGAAAGCAGAAAAATGACAATTTCATGAAATGACTTGGGGTTGAGGATAAGGATGAAAAGAGTGGGAATTAGGTTAGAATTTGAGGGAGTAAGGTTGGGAGAATCTTGATTGGATATCCATTTATAAGATTGGATAGTGTACAGTTTTAATACACATTGGTGGACTTTGCTTTGCTCATGGATTAGGTAAACATTATTTAATTCTCATGAATCAAATTTTAACAAAATATAAAAGGAATTTCAACTATTTATAATCCAGAGTATTTTTCTAGACTGTTCCACGTTTATATATGGGTGTTCTCATTAAGGGGCAAAATACAAATAAAAATTAATCTGTTCAATTTTAATGTTTTTTCTTTGTTCATTACCTGTTGACTTTGTTTTTCAGTAAACTTCTGAATCAACTGTTCACAGTCTCGCCAAACAGCTCCAACAACAGACATTTCATCATCAAACTTTAGGAATCTGAAATAATAGATAAATAATAATTTAATTACATCAATAAATTAAGTAAATTACTGAATTATATTGCACCAACTTGTTCACTAGTCGGGTTAAAAATTAAAAATCACCTAGACACCGATCATCTCTAAAAAGCATAAACAGTTTAAAAGCAGCAAGTAAATAATTTTCTTGCAAACCGAAAAAAACTCTATAAACGGATTTTTATGCCAATCCTTGATTTAAAGGAATGTGATACTACACAGCATAGTAGAAAAAAAACAAACTTACTTGTGTAACACTGTTGAATATGATTCTCCCGGGTAGGTTTCCTTGTGCGTGGCACCATTCCTTAGTTGTTTGGTCAACATGGCTAGGTTTGAGTGCAACATCTGGTCAGTGTAGATTGTACTGTGGAATAGGTGCTTGTTGTGGAGCATCCATGTTAGGTTAAATAATTGTAGGTGTTCTTTTTCCTGGAAAAAAAAAAAAGAAAAACAATAAATCTACAAGTACATGTCCCACTTGGATGGCGTGTAAAAAGGGGGTATTACAAGGTGTTGTAACAGCAGATGTGTATAGCATCATCTACATAAAGATTTTTAAAACATATTTATTCCATAATTTTTTTCTCCAACCCTTTTTTTCAATATTACTGTATACAGAAAGGAAATTTTTCTTTGATATTAAAAGTAAAAGATATTACTGCTGTTACATACCAGTTCCTCTAGGAATGACGAGAGTGTTTTTGCAGCCGAGCATAACGCCCCATACTCCTCCAATAGCATACTGACAAACTGCTTAGCCAGGGCTGGTGTCTTGCACCCTCCACTCAACTGCTTTAGAAGGCGCTGATGCATCTCCCTCACAAAGTCCTCTACCTCCCTCTCCAGCCTCAGGTAAAGATTGTGTGGGTCAATGGAGCAGAACCTGTGGACTGCCTCTTTCATTCGTGGCATGCTCAGCTTAGAGGAATTATCATCTTCTGAAGGATATGAAAACAAAATTAATTATTATATAATTATCATTATTATTTTATTAGATAGCATTTACAAAACGGAAAAGCCAATATGAATGATAAAACCATAGCTACTAGGGTATAAGCCAAGGCTTCTGCGAGCTTAAAAATGAAGACTAGCCTAATAAGTCTAGCCTTTGTTAGGGCAGCCTAAACCTCATAAAAGAGGCCAAGGTAGCACCTGACTTTGGCCTAGAACAGCAGTTTAATGCTAAATTTCAGCACAATTTTTTATAAACTTAATTTGAGAGGGAACATATAAGTAGAGCATTTTCCATGAAATTTATTCTACTTCTAATTAATAGGGAGGGATCTTACTGGAGAAACTACGATGACATATATTGAGCTATATCAATCATACATTTCTAACAAAATTACACAAAGATAATTTTCTTAATTCTTGTCTTTAAAAGAAATATTATTTACATGTTAGCAAGTATCATTTTAACATGTATGTTTTTTTTTTTCAAGCAATTGTAACATGTATGTTTTTTTTTCAAGCAATTGAAGTACTAAGCATGTTGTCAGCAACATTCCGTACACCACAGTAGGATATAATGAGTAAAATGATAGGAAATTGGCTATTTATATTACATGCTTTTCAAAAAGTAGTTCTACATGAAAACAAATCAGATCCTCTTATGTTTCTAACGTATTCATGACATTAGACATTATGTCACATAAATGTACACTTCATGAAAGAAAAATGATGGTAAATATGTCCTAATGTGTCTCCACTAATAATACAGGTATGGTACACCAAACATAAATCTTAGGTTTGAATCCTAAGGGGAAAATAAATTTTTCTCAAATAAAAATATATATTTCAGTAGCTAATAATATTATGTGTAACCTGTTGGCCATTCTGTACGATTGATTTATGAATTATTATTTTTTTTTTTTTGTCAATTTTTCAACTATATTCACAACATTTATTACTTATTTTATCTTGATCTTGTTGAATTTCACTTTTTTAAGTTTTCAATATTTTTTATATTTGTAATTGTTTAGAAGTAACTTGTAACAATTTGTTGTAAGTAAGTTTTTAACTGCAATGCATTTTGGAAATAAACCTTGAACTTCATAGGATTTCCTTCAGGATAAACCTCTATAAAAAAAATAAAAACTATAATTAATCAGAATAAATGCTTGTTTTTATCCTTGGATATTACATTTATATTCAGAATAAAGAACTATTATTATGAATTTCATTTTCATGAACTGGACCTTCAGCTAGTGCATGTAAACATTTCCCCAGGATGTTAAGGGTAAAAATGTACACGGATGTAATGTTTATTGGATGTTTGTTATTTCCTATAGCAAGCACGGTGTTATTACTCTGGTTCAAAGTGATTCAAAGCTTCATACAGTACTGTAGTGTCATTTTTTAAAGGCAAGATTTATAAAGTCAGATATTATTTTTATTTTTTTTTTTTTGCCCAGGCTCAGGTTTCTTATTTTTTTGCAGATTTCAGGCTCAAAATGTTATTTTGTTCTTATTTTTACACACTTTTTAAACATAGAAAATTATTATTTTACAGCAGTATATTACTGTACTGTATTATAGAGGTTATTTAAATAATAATAATAATAATAATAATAATAATAATAATAATAATAATAATAATAATAATAATAATATTATAATAATAATGCTTATATTGTGCATAAAGCAAGAAAAAGCTTCTGTGTGCTTCACATATTCACACCTATGCAAATAAGGTAGATTAAATTTGTTGGTTTTTCTATTAAAAAAAATCAATACCTTAATTTCTAAGCAATTTCAGCCTCGGTGGTCTTATAAAAAAGGTGTATTTGAAAAGTGATTTAAAAAAAGGGGGAATATCAATGCATATCCATGAATAAACATTAAGAAAAAGCAAACAATACTGGAGGGTGACTCAAAGTGTAAAAATGAAACATGTATACAGAACTATTTTTGAAATTTGTAAAATTCGAAAGTCTAAAAATAGTTTCAGCAATAGGTTGTGCAAACTGATTACAAAATTCTGCTGCTGTGTAAACATTTTTAACTTTGAATAACACTAAACACTGATTGCTTTATGCATTGAACTTGCTTAGGTGGGTTCAGACATAGAACACTTACAGTAGACTGTAATTAGCAGCAAATTATGTCAAGAATTGTGTTTAAAAAAAATATGTAATGAGCTAGGACCACTTTAAATAATCCCAATTTAGTAAAGTGCTATAATAGGAGAAAGTTAGACAGTATGGGATATATATAACACAGTGGAGGATTTAGAGGGGGGCGCAAAGATTATCAGAAAATTACTGTGCTAAATAATAAAAATCAATCAGACACAAATTAATAAAGGTGCAAGGGGTTTAAGGGAGATGTGACCCCTTGCACCCCCACCTGGGGCTCTTCCCTAAAACTTTCGATCAGTTCACCCATTCACGCCCTGCCCACCTCTTTTTTAACCGGCTTGATCCGCCCCTGTATTAATAATTCATTCCGGTGCAATTTTGTAATAAAATGACCACATTCATTCTCAGCTGGTACAATAAAATGGAAGATTATATAACTTTCACATAATTTACATATATATATAGTACCATATAATTTATGCATTTGAGAACATGTCAATATAATTACTAGAATTTATAAGTTCTATAAGAAAATAATATTGATTCATTCATTTCATTAAATTATTTTCATTTTACATATATTATACCTGTACATAGTATATATTATATACTTATTTCATTATATAAATTACATTTATAATATACAATATATCATGCTGAATTATTTAAAATAATCTACACAACCCACAAACATTAAATGGTAAGTATTTTAGACAGTGTATTAACTGTATTTACAATTATAATCTATTTTATGTTTTCCATGCTTTGCTTGTATACAATTATAAATGGATGAATGATCACAAAAAAATATTTTTGAATATTACATTATTCTTTTGTTAGTTTTTGTTGATACAATATGAAGCATGTAAAGGACACTAGATGAATAATGCACTAAGAGCGAATCAACATTCATATTACTGTTGTTAAGGCGTTATAATGCACAAGTGGTGACAATAACATACACACATTTTTACAAGGCTACTGTGGCAATAAAAGATTTTATGCTTCTCTTTAGCTGCACCATGGAGAATATTCGACTAAGAGTAAGAATCTCTGGTTATATATAGAGGCATATGTTACTGTATTCCTTCATGGTTAAATAGACACCTAGTATTCACTAACGTCTTCAAAATTTAGTGTGAATATCCTATAAATATTTTAATTTTCATGAAATGTATCAATTTTCAAACAGATACTTGGAAATAGTTGCCATTGGCTACTGCTGTAAAGATATTTGTGTTCGGTGAGGAATAGTGTAAATAAAATAGCAAATTAATAAAATTATAAATTTAAAACATTAAATCAATAAATAAACGTGGTTAATTATTCCAAAATTAGTCAGCTAATAATCATTCCCCTAATTAGCCAATACTTTAATAAACTTACTCAAAAAATCTTCACTCATTTTTTAAATTGCCCAATGAAGTTTCATTATTTTAATCAATTAATCAATATATCAATAATTAAAATAAATAATAAGAAAATAAAGCCACTTGCACACTCAACAAGCAATCATTCAACTAATGAATCAAAAGAATTATACAATCAATCAACTAATCGATTGATCCAATAATCAATCACCAACCTAATTACCAAGCTAATCAAACTATTTACTTGGTTACTAAGCTTTTTTTAATTGCAATCAAAATATAAATTTATAATTCAATGAGCCATTAAAAAATTGATTATCAAGCTAATCGATAATTTATCAAGATAATGAATTAATATGAAACAATTATTCATTTCGTAAAATAAAACTATCAAATCAATTATAAAATCAGCCAAAAAAAAAGATGGCTACAGTTAGTGCAGCCAACCAATCATTAATCAAACTAATTAAATAATAATCAATAATGAGTAATCCAACTAATCGATCAATAATTAATTATTCAAATCAAAGCTTGCATGCATCACTCTTATACCTTCATTATTACTGGTCAGTGATGTCAAGTAGGAATAACTGAAGAAAGGTATCTTCATTAAGCCACCTATTGAAGTAAAAAGAAGAGCTGCAGGCTAAGGGATAAGTTTATTTTTATTGTTATGCAGATAACGGTAAACCTACGACAAGTACACATAAATCCCTGTGAAGACTATCAGATTTCATTTAACAAAAACATGTGACATTGCATAAATACGGTCACGATGACATCACATCCAGACCATATATAGGCACATCATGACTATATATGGGCAAAAACATATGATATTGCATAAATACGGTCACGATGACATCACATCCAGACCATATATAGGCACATCATGACTATATATGGGCATACACTAGTTTTTTGTCAAAGAAAATTTGATAGCCTGGACAAAGCTTTATAAAAATAATATATACGTCAGCTAACGCCTCTGGTCATTGTATCAAATACCTATGGAAAACCAGTGGCGGATCCAGGAATTGGAAATAGAAGGGTCCAGAGAGGGATTTTCACAGATGTAGGTCTATACCATCTCAGCCTCACTATGGTTGGAGCTGAGATAAGAAAAAATTATAATTATGGCACCTCTAGATGGCTGGAAATGACACTCTCAGATTAATTTTTTTCTCAATTTTTTTTTTTTATTTGTAAAATTTTTGGGGTCTCCAGGCCCCCCCCCCCCTTGAATTGGCTACTGCACAGATATAGTACCTAGCTCCCACAAGGTTGCAGCTTATAATCTGCGCATTTGCTGTTTAAACATACCAGGTACACATTTAAACTACCGGGCAGAGATTGACAACATGGATAAATTCCTTTTCCCCAAAACACAATCAAGTACTCTTAAGATTGAACCAACAATCTTTTGATTGGAAATCAAAGTTTTACCACCGTTTCACACACTCTCACTTACAAACATGTCAGAAGCTCAATATAATTTGATGTTTACAATAGGATGAAAAATAATTTAGCAAAATTTAAGACTGACCAGAAAAAGATATTGGGATTGTTACAGAATATACAAGAGCTGTATTGTTACTGTGTTAGGTATAATGAGAAATCGTATTCTGTATTTTAAAAAATACTACAATGAAGTAAATATATTTTGTTGTATTTTTATTAGAGCAAAGCACTAATATAACTGTGAAATTCACAATAACAAAGGAAAACGTGAACAATAAAAACAATAGGGAAAAAAAGAATTCCTGTTTCAGAAATTTAGTGTATGATCACCATAGTAACAAGGATAAATGCAAACTACGTTTGAAAATTCAAGCTTAGAAACACCAATCACTTGTAAATGCACGCAAACTGCTGACATAATCTATGCATGCCATGTCAAGATACTGTACACTTAAATACTAAATTTATAAACTTTCTAACTACAGAAGACTAATGCATAAAGCATATTAGATGTACTTCACAAGGTTTTTAATAATCTTCAAACTCTTCATCACGACAGGCCTTATGATAAGATGAATTTAAGTTACATTTTCAAGCTGAGCGAGTGAAGAGCTCCTTCCACTGATTCAAACACTTACCCGCCAATGCCGTCCCTGCTTCCCAGTAGATACAGCGTACGACGTGGCACAACTCGATCCAGTCTTCCTGGAGTTGCTGCACCTCACGTTCCTGGTCTGCTGCTATTTGATGCCTCTCCTGGCACTGGTCGCATGAACACATGGTCACGCTTGAACGGTCGCCGTCGTTACCAGGCATTGACGACACAAGGGACGTATCAAATTCCTGAAGCGAACTTATGAGTGGCATGTTGGACTGCAGCAGAAAGTCCTGAGCCTAAGAAATAAAAATAAGGTATCCTGTCTAAAGTTAATAATTAAATAATTTCCAAGGGTCACATATTTCTGTTTACATTTATCTGTAACGACCTGAAGTTCAACAATAAAAAAAAAAATATTTGTGAGTGACATATATGCTAGGTCCTTGAACAATAAACAGATAATTGTAAATAAAAGTCAATAATTTATTTGCTTACTATGTATTTTAAGTAACTTATTTGCTTCAAATTGAAATTTCCTCGCCATTCAACAGACGGAAATAACATCCTTCCCATAATTGTTTCAGCCTTTGAGGCTTTTGAGATTTTACCACAAACAAAATATCTTTATGCTTTAATTTCCTATTCAAAATTAAAAATTATTAAAGCAAAAATTTAAAAAAAAATCAGATACCATGTACAAGCCTTCATTTTTTTCATTCATTTATAGCGAAGATCTTATAATAACAAGATAGCGCTCTCCGTGACTATATGCATAACAAATAGAAATGCTGATGTACAGTAAAAAGAAGCATAGAAAGTAAATTGTTTTTGAGAGGGCATCCTAGTTGTTACCATGGTTTTTACAGAATTTGCAGGCACAAATCGTGAGATGTGCTATCTTTAGTTTATAAGAAGATGGCATCCTAAACTGCGTTGTTTCAGAATTTGCACATAGAAATCAAAGAATGCGCTATCTTCTTACAAATTACAAAAAGATAGTATTTGGTTTATTTACATTACATTAGTTATTTACATTCCAGCCCTTTCTCCATGGTTCATCGCACTCATAGTGGCTAACTACTGTTTTCATAAACTAAGCAATCATAATAGAAGGAGAAATCTAGAAGTGGACTTACCAATAGAGATGATTCGTACAGCTTTGTGTTCTTTTCTTCCTCTTCCACCGTCCTCCTACAATCAGGACACACCCACAAAGGTAACTGAAACAAAGGTAAAGCAAGGCAAATGGTGTATTATTCATTAATGCGAAAGGAATCAATGAGTTCTATGATATGTATATTTTTTTTTATTCCTAATCTATATTGAACCACCTGGCAGTGGAAGCGGTTTGGCGCAGCGGAAATGTTTTGGTTTCCCAACCTCAGGTCGTGGTTTCAATCCTTTGCTGTGCATTTTGCTTGTTTCAGTCTACCCAACTGTATGAATGTATCAATGGGTAAGTTAGCAAATTCACTGGCAGTAACATGTAGTGGACTAGTATCCCACTCAGGGGAAGCATCACACTCTCATCTGCTTCATGTTATAGAAACTTGGGATAAGATCCAGGCCTAGCAAGGATTTACTTTTTACTATACTTGGTAGCGACCATTAATGCTTCAAAAACTGAAGCTGTTTAAATTCTGATCAGACAGGATTTAAACCCAGGTCTGTGGGCTACAGCTCTACAACTAGAATTATTACTGATTGTTGATATGTACAGTACAATAAATATAAATATTAAATCATTCTTAAAATTGTCATCATCATATAAATTACCAATGCGTGTACCACCAAAATGCTAACATCATAATCTTCATTTCATTATCATTATCATACCATCATTACATCATCATCATCATCATTATCATCTCCAATTTCATCATTTCCTTCAAACATTAACAACATTTTTATGTTAATAATTAATAATTTTTCAGTACACCATGTGGCATGTACTACAAAATCTCAATTGATGGTATTTAGTTCTGAGAACAGTTTTAACTGTCCATTATTATGGTTGAATAAATTATGAACATTTAACTATCAGTATTGAAGATCTCCGAAATTAATTAGGTTAATCTAAAAAAATAATTCTGAAATTTTACTATGATCAATTTGGAAATTCGAGAATAATAAATTCTGATTATTATTATCATTTAAAATATTTTCATTAAACATTATTTTTACTTTTACCTTAATCTATATTTTCATTTACTTCTTTTATTGTTCAACAGTAATATCTGTAGCTCTCTGGAATAAGCCCCCTTCCCCCCGAACACAAAATTGGGCCGATTTTGGGAGTGCGCTTCTATCCAGGAAATACCCTTAATAATCATATTTTTCAGCAGTGCATGCCTAATTCAAAACTAATTTGTTATTCTTTTTTTACAGTACTTGTACAAGTCAGCTTAATAGCAAACTCATTCAATTATACCCTGGGCTTTTTCCCGAGGAAAGGCTGTTATAAAATTGGGTGTAGAGTAGGGGGGATGGGCTTAAACCTGAGTTGGGCTTAAGGCCTGTTTATACTTGCAACAAGAACGATAAAAAGCTAAAAAGCAATTGTTCATGTAGAAAATAAAAGAAATAGGAGAAGCTTTTACATTAAGACGATTTGATAACTATTTATCATGTATACAATAAAAAATATTTTTACAAATCAAATGACGTCATAATCATCAAAAAAATTTTTCCATGATTATGATATCATCTGAATTAATTTGTCAAAATATGTTGCGTTTTAGTTTTTTTATCGTTATCGTTGCAAGTATAAACAGGACTTTATACCCGAAGAACTACAGAACGTTAATAACAGACTTGGTAACGGTATGACTAATGAATACACCACAGGCAATGCATTCATTCAACAATTACCAGATCTATGTACTGTAGTATGAAGATGCTAGCTAGCTAATAGTTAGCACTTTGCACTTACCAGGGTCAAGAAATTACTTTATGTTACATTCTGATTCAAACAGCATTCTATATCATCATAATTATTAAATATGTTCTATCGACAGCCAACATTTGCAGCATGGCAACATCGGTATAATTCTTAAATTTTTTTAATATATATTTTTGTGTAAACATGAAGAGTTGTCCTTTCAATCCTAATGACTATAAAGATATAAATATACCTGCGTAACATTTTGCAATGTGCAACCATCCGTCTTGCCTTCTTCCTTTGGCGGTACTTTGTGGGCCGGGGGGTCTGGGCGTTCTCGATGACAAAGAAGACAATGTTCCCGGTCCAGGTATGGATTTGGTGGTCTCGGAGCAAGAGGCTAAAATATTAAAATGGAAAATTTTATGTTAATATTAACCATCTATTATTATTAAATTATAAACAAACATTGAAATGGTATGTTACTGTATGCGGGTACAGTATGTTTACATAAGTTCAAATCAAGTTCACACAGGTACAGTATGTGGTAGAATGGAAATATTGGCTAGTGGTTAAGATGCTATCTTGTAAATATAAGAACACATTTGTTAAGAACACTGAGGCTGAAATTATTTTAAAAATAAGGACAATTTGAGGATAAGGTAAAATGTCCAATGAGGTTTTTATTTATTTATTTTTTTAAAATAAAAAACCCAACAAATCTTATTGTACTTTATGTTCAGTTGATGTGACTATGTAAATAATACTCTCAATAATATATATTAAAGTAATATCTGCTGTACAATAGTAATTTTCTATCATTGAAAAATGTGTAAAATAAGAACAAAATAAGAACACGTTGCATCTGAAATCAGCAAAAAAAATAAGAATACCAAGCTTTGACAAAATTTTACCGGTTCTTATAAAAAAAAACACCTCAACAAATTTGGTGACAATATAAGGGTCTTGAATAATCGGCTCTATATTACCCAAGTCTCATAATATACAATAAGGTATCATATGAGCAGCTCCACTGGATGGATCATTCGTGCTAAAAATTTATAAGAGAGGTTTCTCAAAAATATGTCCATATTCAACATTAAAACATTTTTTTCTATCTCCCTTATTACATTAATGTCACAAGGCCTACTGTGGTATTATTCATGTTTTATATTTCAGAAATCCATTGTTCTAGCTGAAATTTAATAAACTATAATGAACTCGACTGCTAGAGGACGGAGTTAAAGAGACAGCGGCATTCTACTCCTCCCAGCAGGCAGGCAAGTCATACAAGGCCAATGCTAAGGAAGGTCACCTTTAAAGTAAACCAACTCAGTATGCACAGTGCCAGACAGTACTAACCTTGCAAAGCTAATGTGCTCTTTTTTTCTACATGCAGAGTACAATGCAAGTTCACTGGGATTGGTCAGGAATAATAATTTATCATGCATTGACACTGTTGTTAACAATTCTGAATGTTATAATCATCAAATCAATGTAATACATGATTGCAAACTGAACAATATGAAGAAAAACATTCAAAAAATATTGGTAAAATATTATAAAAATACATCTAAGCCTATTCATTTACAACAGAAATATTACTACTTCTATATTTCAATAACTCATTTAAACATACACTACAGTATGCAATTCAATGAGTTATGCTGTTATGTATTGTTTAGTTTACAAATTGTGTAAATTGTATCTCTGAGGAAACCAAACTACAACATTGGGAAAAATCTTAACAGAAAGTACAACTTGCTCAACTACTGTACTGCAGTTATGGTTTATTTAGTTAGAATTAGTGATTTATAGTTTCTCCCTTGGTAGTATATACAATGTAATTCAGTAAAGACAAATTGATTTTATAATGTACAAATACATCCTAGTTCAGTACAGGGCACTACTTATCAATTTCAAAGTAATTTAGTACAGGCCACCATGTTACTTTAAAAATAGACCAAGTCTGGGCAGTATTCCAGAATGCAATATTAGTACAGACCATGTACAATTAACATTTGGACATTATCCACTACATTTTGTTCAATGTTGCCTGTAAGTTAGAGCATTTATACTCAATTCATGGGTGGATCCAGCCTGTTGAGAAAGGAGCGTGTAAATGAGCGAGCAGAGGGAGGGTCTTAAGGCAGAGACCCTGGTTAGAATGCAATGGGCCTAAAACCTAGACCACCTTTGTTAATTTGGACTGTATTTGATTGATTTTTCCAATAACATGGAAATTTTCAGAGATTTACAAAAAGCTTTTTTTTTTTAATGGGGAAGGGGAGTGGGATGTGCCCCTTATCCCTCCTCCTTTGTACTGTTTATAATTCATAGCAATGGTGCTTCGGTTGTTCTTTCATTCTTGAATCAATCAGCTAATTAATAAATTGTTTTCGTTTTTTGGGAAGATGAAAGTGATAGAACTTATTCCTCCTTCACCTGACCCCCTCCATTGTATGTTTGTACTTTATATTCTATTAAAATTATCACTCAAATTAATTATTCACTTGCAACAATACAACACTTAGTGGCAAGACCTAAATAAGAAGTTGAGCTTGTTTTTGTTGTTAATGCCTGAGAATAGCCTTTTCTCATAAAAAAATATACCTCTAACTGAGCCAACAAATACCTAGAAAAGTACTGTACGTTGCCAAACGACACAAATAAACTGACCATGATCTTTGGCTATAAAAGCCTAAGTACTTGAGCCCATAAATATTCAAATGATTATTTCATAATCCAGCATTTGGATTCAAAGCCAGGTATTTGCTTATAGAAAATAAGTATATAATAAACCCCTTTTTAGTATGTCAAGTTATTTAATAAATAATGCTGTTTAATTAACTTAAGGATTTTATTATTTTAACCAGATAGTAAAACTTCTACTAAGTACTGTGGCAATAAACAGATTTTAACCCAACAGTCACCATTACAAAATTATTGGAAATGTGATCATTCTCAGCATTTCTCACCTGTGATTGGCTAAAATGCTTCATTTACTGTACATCCTGACATACAAGCTTAACTATAAACAAACTGACTGACTTGTACGACTACCACAAAGCATGTTACATAGCATATTTTTATAGTCGCGATTATATTACTATACAACTGGTAATTACACACAGTACAGTGCACCCCTCAGAGGTGACAGCACTTTCTACCCACAGGCTCTAAACAACGAAAGTCTTTAATTTATGCATACATTTTGGAGAATATTAGAACATCATTCCTTTGAGATTCAATTGAGCTGATCTCTGTTAATAATTCAGGCCACAAGAGGTAAATTTCCTAGAATGAAGTCTGACAATATTGCTAACATACCTAAACATTAATACAGATATCACACCTACTGTAGTGATGAAAATGATGGATAATTAATAATGATGGATGGGTGCAAGGATGATGGATGGAATTCTGCGGGAAGAGGTGTGTCCAGACCATCAAATTTTATTTGACAAAAACCTTTGACATGCATAAATATGGTCATGACGACATATAACCTGGATAGAGCTTATAAAGAATGATGAACGATGGTGAAAGACAGTTAACATTTTGTCAACTGTTTTATGTATTTCCACTTGAATACTGATAGTGCTGAATGACTACAAAAATAATGATATTAGATGACGACGATGATGATGATGACAACTATGATTAAAGAAATTATGACGGTCATTAAAATAATTATGGCGATAATAAAGAAATTAAAAATGATTATGATGATAGTAGGTGTCTCAATGTGAAAATTCAATTTCATTACTTTGAATTTTGTAAACATTAGATCTACAGAACTCACTGCACTGATCATTTTCCAGTTTAAATTATTATAATCCAATACACCGTTCAAAAGTTATGGCCCTTTTAAAGATGGTCAAAAAGGGGGTCCGAATGCGAAAAAGTGGGTCCTTTTTCCAGACTGATTTTGGAGCATTTTTGGAGGGCCATAACTTTAAAAGTAATAACATAAAAGGTCTAATTTTCCAAAACCTCAAGATCTTATGACTTTTATGTGTCTATTTTTTTCTGGGTCATTCTTTAATGTTGTTTTTTGAATAAATGGCCCTAAGTATAGTCGGTTGCTATTTCGTTCCGATTTCAATTATTTCAACAGCCTTTGAAAACGTCATCTCAAAAAAGGTATGTGCTCCGATTATATAGTAAATTTGACAAAGTAGAAATAAATGTCGGATTCTAATATTATTTAAAATGTAAATAACAATTTAACTAAAATTCGACCATAGTTTAACTGGTTTAAGAATTAATGAAGATGAGAGAAGAGACACCCATATAGCGTTGGCCACGCTAGGCCTCCATTGTTCTGGTTGAGCGCTTTTCGCAATCACACTAGGACCATGCCTAGGGACCAGGGCTAGGCTAAAAAGATGCATCAACATTTTATTAGTTCTCTAAAGATCGTAACCTTGAAGGTACATGGACAATAATCATAAACCTACTTAAAATGCTAAGGTAAATTGGTGTTACATATGCTGGCCTAAATTAAATATTAAGTCGAGTCTGACCTGTCTATGTTTATTATCTCGCAAGCGCACGACAGCGGCTATGTTTACTCACAATCTCTCACCGGTGTCTACATACGTACAGATGATTCAACTTTTAGCCTACTGTAAGTTCTATTCTAGGTCCTCCGGGGTATAAATTTGGTTTTAATCGGCAATGATTAGTGAGTAATACGCGTGTTATAATTACCGAATACACAATTGTGTGGTCTCGATTTTTTTCAACTGTATTTACTCCCGAATTCACTGTATTTAAAATGTTTTTGCTTGATGACCATGCAAAATCTGTTATTAAATGGTAGTTCATCAGATATAAATAAGATCTAGCTTTAATTTAGTGGTATTTTCGATCGGTTTTGTTCATGAACAATAGCTCAAAACACAAACTTTGTCACTAATTTTGTTTTTTGTGGTGGATGAACACATCAATTTTAGACGGTTTACGCATCAAAATAAATCTTGTTTAAAGCCTGATAACATGCAAAAAAATCATTCCTCTAGCTTTGACGGTCCTCAATCGATCATGCTTTGAAGTTGGAAAGGGGGTTTCCCAATGTTTTTTTATGCGCGCAAATTCGGCTCAACAGGTTTTTCAACACATTTTAAAATTGCACTTACTCATCAAATACTACATCAATCTAGTTAAAAAACATATGTAAGTGAACACTATAACATGCTTTTTCAAAATATGTAAATTTTATTGGCAAAAATTCACAATGAGTATAGTATTTTCAACATCAAAGTCGTGTCATTTTTTCAAATCTCACGAATTTTTGAAAACTGTATACACTCAAAATGGCTTCATCTGGATACCTAATGATAGATCATTTTGATGATTATAAAGACAACAATAAATACTACAATTACAATATGA